GGAGTCGTAACAGTGCAATCATGTAATAGTTGCGATGTAATCTTTCACAAGTTTGCAGTTCGCAGATTAAGGTTGGTTCTCACCTGATTAGATATATATATGATCAAATAAAAAGAGAGGTAAAAAATTGGATGAAATCTCAACTCTTGATCAACATCCTTGAATGAAGAAAAATTAAAAAGAATGCAGTGACATTTTCATAGATTTTTTTAAACTTTGAAGTGCACAATGTTTACCCTACAAGTGCACAAGTTCTATTTTACATGTGCATAATTAAATTTATACTACAAGTGCACAAGGTTATACTACGAGTGCAAATAATAATAATTTTGAAGTGCACAATATTTGTATTACAGGTGCACAAATTTTGTTGTACAGGTGCACATGGTTTATTCTACAAGTGCATATAGTAGTATAAGTTTTAAAACGTAATGGCGTTCTGGTAAATTTTTTAACTTTAAAGTGCACAAATTTTACACTATAAGTGCAAAAATTCTATTCTACAAATGTATAAATCTTACACTACTACAAGTGCACAAGGCTATATTACACATGGAAAAAAAAATATTCTTATTTATAGTCGTTGATATGGACAAATCAATGACTCAAATTTGCCTACATTTTTTACATGAACGTACCTTTCACCTAATCTCTTTCTTTCTCTCACTCTCCCATACATATCGTTTCATAAATTATGAACTAATACTAACCATTAACATGAAATAATTAATGGCTATAAAGTAATTAATGGAAAAATCATGCATGATAACATTACAATAAACCCATTTATTTACTAAGTTCATCTTAACCCATCCGATCCAAAAATACATTAACATGCATGAACAATCACAAACACATGACATGCATAATAGTATACACTGTGACCAACAGTGTAATATAGTATACGCGTAGAATTGAACTTATATCTATTTAGAGCAGAAGCTACTAGCTTAAGAGAATGGAAGCAGTAGTTGTGTTGCTTTAATCTACAGAGATAACCCTTTACTTTGTTTCTTTCTTTCTTTCTTTCCCCCACTCCCAACTCCTGCAGCCCAGAAGAGATAAAGATAGAGAGAGAGAGAGAGAGAGAGAGAGAGATATGTCGTCTAGCTCTACCACATCCCAAGCCATGCTCAACCAAATCTTATTTCATCAAGATGTGGCATCTTCATCTTCATCCCTTTTCTGTGTTTCTTCAAACAATAATATTATTAATACTGCAGGGACTGCTCTTCCATTTGAGTCTCTTAAAACCCTCATCACACCCATGCCTACCTCTCTTGCATCACTGCTCCCTCCTCTTGTTGAATCATCATCGGCTAATTCTTCAGCTTTTCATCAAACACTAGTAGAAGAAGACCTCTCTCCCCTCTTTGGACCACCCCATCATCATCAACTCCTCTCTTTGCACAGATCCGCACCAAACTTATGGTATGTTAGTTTCCTTTCCATCTTTAACAAATTATGAGTTTCTTAATTGTACGTTTTAGGCTATCTGTCTTTAGATCTGATCTCTCTATCTATCTATATATCGGTTTAGTTTGGTTTGATCTCTATAATAGTGCATGTGTATAGTGTGATGGTGATAAAAAACCAAAAAAAATGAATGTTGTAGGGCATGGGGAGAAGTGAATGAGTGCATGATGAGAAGCAAGAGATCAAGTGGATTAGTGGTGGATGATCATCATCATCACCTGGGGGTTTCAGCAGTTAAGATGAAGAAGATGAGCAAGTCAAGAAGGAAGGTGAGAGAGCCAAGGTTCAGCTTCAAGACCATGAGTGATGTTGATGTGTTGGATGATGGCTATAAATGGAGAAAATATGGGCAGAAAGTTGTCAAAAACACCCAACATCCCAGGTACATACCTAATAATCTTTAATGAATTGAACCACCATCATTATCTTCTTTCATTTCTTTCTGGGTTTAGTTTATGTTACGATAAATCGCTTACTCCTACGCCAAAAGTTATAGCACAGCTAGTAGTGAAGACACAACTTTATTTCCTAATACTGTCACACGTTTTCGAGATCAATACTGGCCGGGTGCTGAATTTGCCCGTTAAGCCCTTTACCGACTTCCAGTCAACAATCTCCAATCACCGGGTGTTAGACTTGATCTTTATCGACCACCGCCCAACAACAGTTCAGTTTTATTACAACATTAATTAATCTAACTCAATTTCATAGCTAATTAATAAGCTACTATGGACTATACTATGGACTATGGTATATACTCAGATCAGTAGCTGCAGCTTTTTCTCCCCACCCCCACCCCCACCCACTCTCCCCATATACTATATGCATATACATATACATATATAGTATATAGGTAATGTATCTAGATATATAATTAGTTTGATAATAATTATATATGATTAGCAAATTATTTTTTGATTGGGAGCAATTATCAGTGTTGAACACAGCATAGAAATGAGAAAGTTTTAGGCCGGGGACAGAAAATGATTAGAGAGGACTCTTGAAATCAATTTAATTTGTGAAGAGAGCTGAGATTCGATATACTCCATATCCCATCATATCATTGTTGCCATTATCATAATTAATAAACATTATTGATCTTTAGAGTTAGTCTACACTGTGCAAGCTAAGGAGGTGAACTACATTATTTGTAGCTTTGTAGGTTGTAAAGTAGAGTATGAAAACAAATGCATTATGAATAAACACTGTGTAAGAAAAAGTAAAGTAAAGTTAATCATCATATACTAATAGAATAGAGGCTCATTAGTCATTACCCTCACAAATTATATATGAGCATTCACTATGGATATACTTATTCAGGGTTGAAAATTTTTTTTTTTACCGTCATAAAGTGGTTGAAAACTTGGGTTAATTTCATAGTGGAAATGAGTTTGGGGTTTGGTTAAAAAGTGAAAAATGAAGACTGGCATTGAGTTGAGTTTTCAATCTCCTCTTTTCAGGAGAAATTCTCTTCAAAAAATTTTACTGATGTGCAGTGCTCAACTTTAAACAAACGACAACACTGTGTGGCATGCTCTCTCTCTCTCTCTTTCTCTCTCTTTGTCTAGAGCCCACAGTAGTGATTATGATGAATCCAGCGATTGCCAGTTAGCTAGCTTAGCTCCTTTGCATTTTCTTCATGATTTCATTGCATCCCTTTTTGTTGTACTAGGTAGAGCACTATGCTATCCTCATTGGCCTACCAAATTAAAACAGCTATCACAAAATTTAATTTGCCCAAATTATCTTACCTTACTTTTTTAACCATTAATCTCATCATCTTTTTCAAATGTAGCTAGGGGGTTTAATTAAGGTTCTTGATCTGATCTGCATGCATGTTTTAGACAACCCCTTCTTTCCAATGTTGGGTGTTTACTATTTAAGTTGTCTACCCAACAATCCCACCACCTACTGGCTTTCTGAGTACCCATGACTTGCTATGATATTATTTGTACCATTCTTGTTGTGCGGAGGAGGCTGATGAAGGGCCAAGTCCAACAATTAATCGCTAGGAGATTGTTGGGCTGAGGCGGGTGAAGGATCAAGTTCAACACCTTGCTTCTTGAATTTGTGGTGGCGATATATAAGGAAATAAAGTTGCGGCTTCTCTGTATATATTCCTAACTATTGTAACCTTTTTTTTTTTTTTTTAGTGGCCTACATAACATTTTCAATGTAGGCTAGTAGTAGGGTGTTAGACTTGATCATCAAAACATCCGCCTAACAATGGGTGTTCACAATACCACATGCCCTAATAGGCTAATATGTCGGCTATAGAGTGCTGGACTTGGCCACCAAAACATCCATCCAACTTGACCTAATGGGCGGGTAATAGAGTGTAAGACTTGATTATCAAAGCATTCACACAACCATGGGTGTTCACAATACCGCAATTTTTAAACCTAATAGTCCATATATATCTAGAGGGACTCCTTGACCTAATATAAGGCTAAGGAGTGGAGCTTCACTACTAATAATCGTGTGTAAATAATGCATTGGTAAGTTATATTTAGTTGGTATTAGTTGAAATGAAAGGTGATTGTAGCTAAATTGGGAGGTTGTTGGGAAATGGTGAATAATGCAGGAGCTATTACCGTTGCACTCAAGATAACTGCCGGGTGAAGAAACGTGTGGAAAGGCTAGCGGAGGATCCGAGAATGGTGATAACAACGTACGAAGGCCGACATGTGCACTCCCCATCCCACGACGACGACGATTCACAAGCTTCATCTCAAGCCAACGATCTCCTCTGGTAATAACGCACGAACAGATTCTCATCTGGAACATGGTTCACCTGATTATGGACATATATATATATATATATATATATAATCGCCCAGATCACATATACCTAGCTTCGCCGGTTTCTATGTATAGATGCCCACTATTACTATTATTATTACTAATAATAATATACACTCCTACTACCTAGTACCTACCTCTTTTCACTTTTCAATACTTACTAAGATCTCATCTTCTTCATTGAATGAATATTGATTGTGTGTTTTTACTTTTACTTTTACTTTTTAGATTGAGATTGACATGGGCATATTTGGTCCTTGTTTTATTGGGCCTTCTGTATTAATTAAGGATTACCAGATTAGTATGATATGATGCCATGCTTGTATGAAGAAGTGAAACAACCTTGTAATTACAGGATGGGACACCAATTGTTATACCATAGACCAGAGTCCATCTTACATTGTAAATCTTGGCCCAAAATTTATATCTACAATTAACTTATGTCTTCAATTGATAAATTATGTGGTTGTAAATAAATTGAAGACACATCATTTATTAACTACAGACACATAATAGTTTAACTACATGCACATACTATGGTAGCTACATGCCTACATGCACATAATATGTTGCATTATGTTATAGACACATAATATGCTAACTGTAGACATATAATATACAACATATTATGTGCGTCGTTTAATTTATTTACAAGCACATAATCAGAATTTTATTTGGAACTAGGGTCTAAAATGTAAGATGAACCCACAATGTAAGATGACCCTGATTCATGGTATAATTTGCTTGGGAACACAATTTGGGCCTCAGTAAGCCTAAATGTTTTGGCCCATTAGTAAAACATTAGCGCTTAATATGCAATCGTTATGCTATGGACCTGTGTCCAGCATACATGTTGGACACGGTAACGGTGCCGTTAGTGACACCATTCCTTTTCACTTTTATTTTATTTATTTATTTATTTATTTATTTTTTTAATTTTAGACCACTTTGTTATAGGACTATATGTTCATAATTTTATCACTATATGTTCATAATTGTAAGTTCATAATGTCAGAGCTCTGTGTTCATAATTGGATAACTGTACATTCATAATTGCATAACTGTACATTCATAATTTCGTAACTGTCCATTCATAATTCAATAACTGTAAATTCATAATTTTCGAAACTCTATGTTCACAATTTTAGAGCTTTATGTTCATAATTTTATCACTATATGTTCATAATTGTAAATTCATAATGTCAGAGCTCTGTGTTCATAATTCCATAATTTACATTCATAATTTCATAACTGTACATTCATAATTTCATAACTGCACATTCATAATTGCATAGTTGTACATTCATAATTGCATAACTGTACATTCATAATGCCACAAACGAATAACGCCGTTAATGGGGCGAGACAAAATCAATTTTTTTTTTTTTTTTAAAACTAGAAGGCCGCGTTTTCGCTTAAAACAACGTCGTTTTGGACTCGTGTCCACAATGGTGGACACGAGTCCACAGCATAATTTGCAATCATTATTGTGTGGACCATGGTCCACACAAGTTGTGTGGACCATATTTTGTCTACTGTAAAATAATGTACATCAGTATAAAAATAATGTACATTCAGTACAAAAATAATGTACATTGTATTCAGGGGATGTACATTATTTTTGTTCTGAGTGTACATTATATTGTATAATGTACATTCAATATAAAAATAATATACATTTAGCATATTAAAAATGTACTTTTTATTATAGTCCACATAACATTACATGGACCAAGATCCACACAATAATTTGCCCATAATTTGCGCTTAATATGCATTCAGGCTCAAATACACTTAGATTGAATCAAAACAGAAAAAGGTGGAAAGATTACAAAAGCTGAAGCCCATTATCAAATCTAGGCCCATCATGCATTAAATCTTCCATATGACATTTTTTAATACATTAGTGCGAATTGAGCTTGTAATTTCCTATCGTTTTACTTTTCGAACTTCACCTCTATAAACATTTGAGCTGCCTATACAAACATTTTCTATCATTTTAAAATAATCTGATTAGAAGTGTCGAACGAGCGAGTTTTGCTCTACTTGGTATTGGTATGTTTATTTTTTGACCGAGCCGGCCTAGTCCAATTAAAATTCAGACCGGGTTTGGCCTAGTCTAAAACTAAAAATTAAAGTTCGGCCCTATCAATAGTCCAAAAAAAAAAATATTAAAATTTATAAATGAACTAATTTAAGTTATGTATTCCTTCCAAATTAATTTTACAAGTTCACATATTTATTTTCAACTATTTCGTATTTATTAACTTATTAAGAATTATTACAAGACATAAAGAAATCAATAATTACCATTAATAAAAAATACGTTTACAAATTGTAACTACTAACTATTAGGCGTTGTTTGGCATGCCTAGTTGAAAAGCTAGTTGAAAGATGAAAAACTAGTAGCTAATAGGCTAACTAATTGAAATTAAAGTGTTTGGTAAAATTATTTTCAAAAGATTGAACCCCAACCCTAAGTGTTTGGTAAAATTAATTGTTGAATTAGCTGATTAGTGTATGATACTGCTAATTCTACGTAAACAGTATGAAATATCACGAGACCAATTAAAGCAAGTAAAATCTTTATTGATCCCGGGAAAGGCCCTAAGTACAATCTTCTTGGTTGCTTTGAGTACCGACTGACTGCGGTCGGGATTCTCTCACAACAACCTATTGATCGTCCGAAAGTCCTCTACACTGTAGCTACTGTGGGCATTTATAGCCGCTATGCCGGGGACAAGATTCCTGCCGCTCAGCATGTCTCCCACGTAGCCACCACGTGTCATCTTCCCGGGTGCCCTGTCTGTCGCCATGAAGAGCCGCCACGGGTCCTCTCGCGTCCTTGTACCAGCTCTTTCGTCGAAGGGCTACCGCTCGGTGGTTGACATCAACGCTCGGGCAACTCCCGGCCATTCCCGACCGGGGTCTTCATGGAAAAAGCCCGACCTGCCACCTGCAAAGATCATAAGAGAAAGACAAAGGCAAGTCGGTCGTGGTGGAGCTTATGTCGGTCGGGATATTCCCTACCAAAAGCCCCCCAGCCCGAGCCTTTTTGATCAGTCGGGAAAAAACGGGACGGGATGAAGAAGCCCAACCGTTAGGCATTAGACCGACCGGCCGGCTGTCATTCCCTCCTACGCCACGTGTCGGCCTCTGCCGGCCTCGGCGATCCCATCCGTCGCCTCGGATTCAGTGCGGGTCGTGTCAGGCAAGTTGGCCCATTTCCCGCCTAAATGCCCTCCTATAAATAGGCCCTTGAGTCCCTCATTTGAACTTTCCTCACTCTTTCGCACCAGTCGGTACCCTCAGAGAGTCCCGAGCAGAGCAGCTTAGCAAGGCAGTCGAGCAAGCAAACTCCAACTTTCAAGCTTCAAACTTCAATCTTCCTTTAATCGGTAAGCTCTTAACCCTCCTCTTTACTTTAAGCTCTTATTTATAGGTAGAACTGCTAGGTCAACTAACTGTCCCGGACGCCTCAAGTCCTTACTAACTCCGACCGACCTTTAGGTAGATCGATATGACGGACTCAGACAGTCAAAACGCCTCGATTGCTGATTACGACGAGGAGGTCGAGCACATCAGCGACGAGGAAGTGGACATTATGTCCTACACCCCGGACGCCAGCCCCCGAGCGACGCCAGCCCCCGAGCAAGCCGCCGCGCGAGACAACGCATCAAGCTCCTCTGGATCGTCAAGCTCAAGCTCGAGCGGATCGGGGAGCTCCAGCGAAGAAGAGGAGGAGAGGACCATGCCAGGCGGGCGGGGTTCTCCGACCGAGGGCGTTAGGGAAACGCCCACCCGGGTGGTTGGGGACCACCCGGAAGCTGCTCCTCGGGGGGGTGATCGAGAAAATACCCCCGAGCAGACCGAAGAAGACCCGGCCGGGCCGGCCACACCAGCCGTCGAGCTCGAATTCTTGAACAGCGAGAGTGTCGAGCAAGAGATGAGCCTGCTGACCAAAGGCGAAGCGGCTCGGATTGCTGAAATACTCCGGGGTCGGGCAGAGTTCGACACGAGCCGGCAGCTGGGAAACGTGATCGACAGGCATCGGGGCAAGTGGATCGGGATGCACTACGACTCCCTGATGGCTCCGATCGCCATTCCCTTCACCCCCCTCCTGAACGCCTTCCTGGCCTATTACCGGGTCGTCCCGGCCCAGATCTGCCCGAACGCACATCGGATCCTGGCCTGCTTCCCACAGATATGTGCTCGGCACGAGTCCGAGTGCACGATGGAGTTGTTCAACTTCATCTACCAGATCAAGGTTCTCCCGGGCCGCTATGGGGGTGGGTTCCTGATGCTGCAATCCCGGGCAGATATGTGCTCGATCAGAGGCTTGCCCGGGAACAACAAGGGGTGGAAAAACAGGATTTTCTCCATCAAGTACGACCCCTGGATCCTCCCGGTTGACCGCACTTGGAGCACCCACTTTCGAAAACAAGTGGTGCCGGACGCGACCCAGGCGCTCAAGGAAACGGTCTCCCGGATCTCGGGCGAGCTGCATGAGTACACCATCTTCCGGACGGCCGAGAGCCTGGAAGCCGCCAAGCTCCCGCCCCCCACGTACGAGCTACGGGAGAAGTACCTGCCCGTTCCGATGGGCGTGACGGTCGCCAAGCCGTCCAAACGAAAGAAGAAAGGTTTGCCACGAGCTACTTCCCTCGACCTTGCTGATTATCTCGATCTGACTAACTTCTTGTTTTGCAGCTATGGCCGAGTTCGGTGATGAAGACACCGCCCTTCCCCCACCCGTCAAGATCTCGCTCGGCGGGAAGAAGAAGGCCAAGACCAAGGCGGCCGGGGAGAAGGAGATCCCATCTGCCCGACCTCTGAGCGCCTCGACCATGACGACGGGCGAGGGCTTCATCGTGGAACAGCCCGATGTCTTGGTTACCCGGGTGGAGGTCGCCCGGGGCAAGGAGAAGGTCGCCGACCAGGGCGCGACCGAGGTGGGCGGCCTGAAGCGCCGCCGCGAGCAACACAGCCCGACCCCTTCGGCCGGGCGGGAGAGGGAGACTACATCCGTGCTGGCACGGATCGGCAATGCCGCGCCAGCCCGAGCGGACCTGGGGAAGATGACCCCGACCCAGGTTGCTGAGCGGATCGGCTACGATCTTGCTGAGGTAAGTCCCAACTTTTAATCTTTCTTTGCCCAAGTATCGTTGATCGGGCTAATCTTGAATATCCTCTTTGTATTGCAGATCTCCCGGGCGACCCAACTTCTTCAGGGTCAAGCTATGCTGGCCGAGGAGGCTGATCACCACAAGAAGACGGCCGCTCGTCGTCTGAAGGAGATCAAGGAACTCCAGGCCGAGCTGGAGAAAACGCAGAAGGCCCTGAAGAAGGGTGGCGAGGAGCGGGTGCTGGCCGAGAAGGTCGCCAGCCGGGCGATTGGGGAGGCCAAGGAGCTGAAGGCTCAGCTCGAGAGCCCGAGCGAGCTAGCGCGAGCAGCCTTCAAAGATAAGGACCTGGGCTCGGCCTTCCTCACAGAAGCCCGGGGAACAGCGATCGGTGAAGAACTGATCGTCTCGTTCGGCCGCTGGGGTTTCACGGCCGGGAAGCGGAAGATGCTCGAACGAGTCCGCACCCGGTTGGAGTAGGCTTTGGACGGGGAGGACCTCCAGCTGGTCCTCTCGGTCTTGCCCCCAGACCTAGCCGATCCCGGTCCCTCTCCCTTCGCCCCGAAGGCCAAGGCGTCCGACCCCGGGGCATCGTCGGCGGCCCCTTCGAGCGGGAAAGAAGCAGCTGCTGGAGCTCGGGAGGCGAAGGAGTAGACTAGGCTG